CAATTAGACATCAAAGGGATTATTTCCCTATGTTTCTCCCTGACTTACAGCGTAGTCTTGGTTCAAAGGAACTGAGCAGTCAGGTCCAGCCCTATGTCCATTGCAGAAATCCCTACTAGAATATGTCTGATAGATGGTCATCTGATCTCTGCTTGCATGCTTCCAGTGATGGCCAACTTGCTGTCTAACAGTATAGTGTACTCTTTAGCTAGGGGCCCAACTGTTAGAAAAGTCTTCCTTAAAAAGTTGGAACCTGCCTTCCTATCATTTCTCCCCATTGGATCTTAGTGCGTTCCCCTAAAGTTATGAAAACAATTTATAAAACCACACTTTAGTTATAGTTGCCACCTCAAATTTCCCATATTCTTCGGTTTATCTCACCTCATGTTCTCAAGATAACATTGGAGGACCACAAAGAGAGGAAACTAAGGTATGTAAACAGTGCCACTGGGACAAAAGGGTTCTTAGAAGACTTAGAAACCAAGAGGTCCTGACCTAAAACAGCAGGCTCCCACTGGAATTAAGGTCAGGGTAGATAGCCATCATCTCATAATTCCTTATGCAATTCAACACCAGAACTTGGATATAGAGCTAGAAAAGACTGTAGTCACCTGCCTAAAACTGAATCAAGAGAATAATTTTTCTAGTGAAACAAGGATTCTGTTGCATCATTTAAAATCTTTTGTGTAGTCCAATCAATTCTACCCAATTAGAAAATGTCCCCTTGGATGCTGCTTTGTTATCAAATAAGGCCCTTTTCCAGAAGCCAGTTCTACTCTGTCCAGAGTTCCTCCCAGGAAAAGAAGTCTGGATGTCCTAGGGAAGATTGTGTCATAATCGTTGACAGCTTGATCCTATGTTCTAATTATTCCCTCACTTTTTTCTAGGTACTGAAATTTCTGACTACATACATAGATAAAGCATCAATTATCTATTTTTGCTTGTATTCCCAACACTTAGCCTGGCATATGATAAGTGTTTAATAAATGATTTGCCTATTAAGTGCTTGCTATGTGTCCCCATTGTGTTAAGTGTTGATAAAAGTAAAAGAAATACAAATAAAAGCAAGCAAGTTAGTCCTTGTCCTCAAGGAGCTTACATTCTAATGAGGAAAGATGAGGGGAGTTGGAAAGCATGATGATGGTTGTGGTGGTGGGAGCGGTCTATGGGTGGTGACCTGGGTGAAGATCTCCTGGAAGTGTGGTAGAGGTCTAAAACAGAGCAAGACAAGACCAAAGCTGGCCGGTCAAAGCCCAGGTTGGCTCCAAGGGCAGAATCCATTTTCAGGTTGGGAAAGATTGGACGTGAGTGCCTAAGTGGAGCCAAGTGCAAGATGTTATGGCTGGAGTTGTCTGAGAAGGTGACCCCAGGGTCTGAAAGCATCTTCCATTGTATCCAATATGTCATCCTGGCATGGCAAAGACCAGCAGAACTTAAATTGTGGCACGTTACACACCAAATTGGCAAGGCTTCAAATACTGCTCAGTTACACACTGTCATCCGAGGACCAGCCTTGTTGACTTTGGAGAGGCTTCTTACCAAAGGCTGGCCACCAGGTGACGGATGAATGTTTGTTTGTTGTTTTTCTTCTCCCAGACACAGCAGCTCTGGAACAGTGTTCTCCATCATAGAGAGAATGTTGTATGTAATCTGTGAGTGACAAATGACACTCCTTACAAAATGACACAAAATAACAAGGCCTTGACGTAATATTTTTTTTTTAATTATTCCAGACCTGTGATTTCTTCAGTGTGTTTTGAATTCTCCAAGTGGAAAGCCTCTCCCCTGATGAGCAAGTCTTCCATAGCTTATAATGTTAGAGAGTTGTCCACTGGACTTAGCTGCTGAGAAATAAAATGTCCAATACCAATCATGCCCTCCCAAGCCTCAGTTTCGGATCGATCCCACCATCAACTACCTTTGTTTCCATACACATGCTACTGAATTAAGATGGAGAAAATCATGAAACCACGCTAACTGGGGCCATTACAAATTTATATTACATAACTTCAACTGGGCCCTCACTATGGTAAGACAAATCCTTTTACATCTCCTTAGTTAACTCACTATCCTGCCACCATAATGACTTTTAAACCTTTTCATCACTCTTCAAACCTCATGGCTTCCCCTTTTCCATTCACTCAGCTGTTAATCTTGCCTAATATTTTACTGAAAAAAAAATTGAGGCCAATTGAGACCAGATCTTCCACGAAGAGGTGCCCTTCTCACCAAGGCAAATCCCTTGATATGCACAAGTGATTCCATTTGAGTCCATTTTCTCCAGCAGATTGCCCCCTCTAACACCCCAATTCTCTTATCTTCAATCTTTCCCTGTCTACTGGTTACTTACCTACTGCTAAAAACATGCTCACATCTTCCCCATCCTCCCAAAACCTTCATGTGCTCCATTCATCCCTTCTTCTCCTTTTTGTGAATAAACTCTTTGAGGAAGCCACAAATAATTAACACTTCTACTTCCTTTGCTTTCACTCAATTTTTGAGCTCTCTTTAATCAGGCTTCTGACCTCATCATTCAGCCAAAACTGCTGTCTCCAAAATTACCAGCGATCTCTTCCTTTCTAAATTCAATGGCCTCATTTTTTTTTAATCTCTCTGCTGCTTTGGACTCTGTTGATCACCCTCTATTCTTTGATACCCTCTCCTCTCTAGGTTTCTGTGGCACTGCTCTCTCCTGATTCTCCTCCTACCTTTCTAACTCCTTTGCTAGATCTTTGTCCAGGTCATGCCTGCCAAAGGTGACTGTCCCCCAGGGCTCTGTCCTAGGCCCTCTTCTCTTTTCCATCTATACTATATCACTTGGTGGTCTCATCAGCTCCCATAGTTCCAATGATCATTTCTGTGCTAATGATTCTGGATTCTACTTATCCAGCCCTAACTTTTCTCCTAACCTCCAGCTGCCTTTCAGACATCTTGAACTGGATGTAGATATTTTAAACTCAACATGTCCAAAACCAAACACATTTTTTTTCCTACAAAGCTCCCTTCTTTCTAAGTTCCCTATTACTATAGAGAGAGTATCGCCATCCTCTCAGTCACACACCTGGTTTTGCAACATAGGTATCATCTTCAACTCTCTCTCACCCCACCCCATATCCAATCTGCCAGCCCTGTTGTTCCTACTTTAGCAACGTCTCTGATAAACTCCTTCTCTCTTCTAACTCTGTCACTACCCTTGTATAGGCCCTTATCACCTCACACCTGGACTATTGCAGTACACTTTTGGTACATCTGCCTGCCTCAATTCTCTCCCCAGTCTAGTTCATCCCCAGCTGTGAAATTAATCTTCCTAAAGCTCAGATCTGACCTCTCTATTCAATAAATTTCCATGACTCCCTATTATGTCTACAATTAAAAATAGAATCCTCTGTTTTACATTAAAAACCCTTCACAGCATGACTCTCTTCTATCTTTCCAGTCTTCTTATACCTTATTCCCCTCCACTTACTCTGTGATCCAGTGATTCTGGCCTCCTTACAGTTCCTTGCACAAGATACTCCATCTCTCAACTCTAGAAATTTTCATTGGCTGTTTCCCATGCCTGGAATGTTCTCCTTCCCACCCCTCCCTACCTTCCCCTACCCCATCTCTGCCTCCTGGCTTCCCTGGCTTCCTTTAGGTCCTAGTTAAAATCTCACCTTCTACCAGAAGCCTTTCCTGATTCTTCTCAGTGCTACTGGTCTAGTCTTTATTGATCATTTACCATTTATCCTGTATATATCTTGTTTGTAGGTAGCTATTTGCATGTTGTCTGCTCATTAGACTTTGAGCTCCTTGAGATCAGGGCTAGTTTCTGTCACATCCTAGGGAAAAAAATAAAAGAACAAAGTCAGTGTAGTTCATGAATATTTTCTCCTAAGGCTTGGCCATGCCACCAACCTTTAAAAGCCATAGCATTCCAGCAGGGTCGTCACTGCTCTTTCCTCTTATTTTTGACATGTTGGTCATATGTCAGAGGCAAGTTTTGAACTCGAGGATTTCTGGCACTAAGATTTAGATCACCGAGCCTGTCTCTGGACGGTGGCGGTCAATTTAGTCCAGCTCTGGAGAAAGGAAAAAGCAACTTCCTTTGTGCCGCCCTACCTCACCCCACCCCACCCCTCACTGTGCATAGATTGAATATCCTGTCACAAAATCAAGCACCATCATTCCCTTACACTCAATCTTTCCTCTCAACCAAATGCCATCCGATGATAGCGCTAAATCTTTGGCAAAGGATTAAGGACAGTTTTTGATCCTCCCAAACTGTTAAGCAAGGACAGGAAAGGCCAGCACAGGGAGCATTGTATAATTGTTAAATTTAGAGTCATCCTATACACCTATGAATGAACTGGTCCTACAGGAATCTGGGATGGAGGAGAAAAACCCTAACGTTTAGATTTCAGGTAATGGGGGAAAAGGGCAAACCAAAGCTTGTGCTTGGGTAGGATCATAGATCTGGAGGGAACCTGGACCCTATTTCGTCATCACACCACTGTTGGGCGCAGAGGGATGGCTACAAGTGTGGCCATAACTAATTTGACCATCGAAGGCTCCCACAACTCCTCTGAGCTCTGAGGCTGGGGGTAGTGGCCTGACTTACACACCTATGCACCAGCCAAGGTACAGTATGCTATAGCCGTATGGCTGGTCCAGCACCATTTTGTAGCGCCTTATCGGGCGGGGCCGAAGCCGGGGGTGTGGCTTGCCTGCAGGACCAGGCCTGAGCCACCTGGCCCCAGCGCCTTGGTGCCTGCTAGGGTACGGCGCTAGGACCAGCGCGGTCACACCTGTTGGCCACCGATTAGTGGGGCGGGCCGGCTCCCAGCTGGTGTAAAAGAGCTAGCTAGGCGCGGGCAGGGAGTGACTCTGTGTTTGGGCGTGTGGAGCGAACTGCACGGGTCGGGCCGGGCAGGGCAAGGCAGCGCCACGCTGGGCCTCCTGGCGCCGCGCAGCTCCACTCTCCTTCCAGCTCCCCGCGCCGTGGGTGCGCAGCGCAGACCATGGCGGAACTGCTGCGGAGCTTGAGTGATTCCCAATTGGTGGCGCGCTTCCAGAGCCGCTGCGGGCTCTACCCGGCGCCCCCGGAGGTGCCGCAGGAGCCCGCGGCGGGCTCTGGGCACGGGACGCCGCAGCCAGCCTCCCGGCATCCCCGGGCGGTCAATGGCAAGGGCGGCCGGAGCGGCGCCTTCCCGCAGGTAATGTCTCGTCCAGGTGCGCAGAGAGAGAGAGAACGAGGAGGGACCGGGGGAGGAGATGGTGGGCAGTCCGACTGTGCCCCCAGGCCGGCGGGCTAGGCACCCAGGTAGCCAGAGGAAGCCGGTTCCAAGGCTTCCTCCCCTGAAGGAGCAGGCACGTAGAGCCTGCTAGCCAGTCATCCCCTCGGCCACTGCAGAAGATTGAAATCACTCTGAACAGGTCGGGCGGAAAGGGAAAGCCACCCACCGGCTCCAAACTCAGCGTCTTGGACTGGGGGTCTGAATAGCGCACTACCCTCTACTGGGGGCTAGGGAGGGCGACCTTGGTTCGTTTATTTTTTAAAGGAAAAAAGCATTCCGGGCTCTTTACATTCTAGCACCAGCCTGGCTGACGTGCTTGGGAAGAAATTATGAGCAAATCATTCTTAGCATCATGGGATTTAGAACTGGGAGAAATCTTCGAGATTAGCGAGTGATTAGCTAGATTAGATTCTCGTCTAACCCCTTGACCCCTCATTTTACAGGTTATAAATCTGAGGCCCCGTGAGATGTTGGGCAGGCGTCTTTTCTCATCTGATAGTTATACAGATACACCTGCTAGGGTCGCCCCTCTCTCCTCTCACCCTTAATCAGCACTAAACTTTACTGGTTAATTTTGTCCTCCCTTTATGATTAAAATCTTCAGGGGATCATCCTCAGGTCTGTTCAGGAGAGAAAGGAACTGTCCTCTTCAACGCCTTAGATTTACCACTTCAGCTGTCTAAAACAAACAGACTGAAACCCTATGTCCTTTCATTCTCGAAGCTCTCATCAGCTAGCTTTTAAAAAGATGTCTCTTAAGGGAAAATATGCTCCTTTCCCCGCTGGCTGGGCTTCTAGTGTGTTACACAATTTGCTGCGTTTGTGCTTTGGTGGCCGCGGTTAGGTAACACTGTTTTGCCTAGGCAGTGCCCAGGAACGCAGACTCTTGACTACAGTGCTCCCCTACAGAACTGACACATCCTGCAGCTAGCTGTCAGCCCGCCAGGGATGCTGGTGGGAGCCCATCTGCCTCGATGTGATTTACAATCCTGCCAGGGTTGGGTTGTAGCAAGTCAATACAGCAGAAAGGTGTCACCTGGGCACCTGCAATAGCTGTAGTTTCTCAGGGGAGGATTAATTGGAACATAGACATCAACACAAGCTGCTGTTTTGTGCAAACTGCAGTGTTTACTTTTCATGCAGCTTTGGGAGAAACAGAGATATCATTTATAATAGGTATTTTGAGACCAGGAAACAGTATGAGTGACAAGTCTTATACCTTGATGTATATGGAATGAATTAAGAATTCTAGCCTCCTGTATGGGGTTTTAGTACTCTTTTTCAGTCTTGCTTGTACTCCATTTGCTCTTCTTTCTAGGAGCTGTTCCTGTAACCTTTCTCTTCCTTCCCCCATCTACTCTCCCTGAAACATAGAGCTTTAACAAAAGCCTTGGGACTGGGTTTTATTTTGGGCACCTTTCCACCTTTTTCTTCTCTTTCTTCAATACTTGACTTTGAAAAGAAAAGAAACAATGCATTAAAATGCCTCCATATATTTAATGTGTAACCTAGAAATCTAGAAGAATTGTTTTACATGCTTTATATATACAGAGTGTCCCAAGAGTCTTAGGGTAGTTTTAAAGCTTGGGACACCCTGTGTTATCTCATTTAAGAAGAACCCTGTGAGGCAGGTACATTGAGTATTATTATCCCTATTTTACTGATGAAGAAATGAAAACTTGGAGACTAAGTCCAGTTCATGGCTTAAGTATGGGCGGTGGAATTGTAACCTCTGTCATGCAAATCTTCATATAGCACTTTAAGGATTATATAGCACTCTGAAGTCATGTGGACAACAGCCTTGTAAGAAAAGTGTTGTGGGGATATCCCCATTTTATAGATAAAAAAGACGACATTTAGAAAAGGTAGGTACCTTTCCCACCTTCTCACCCCCATAGTCTCACAGCTAATGTCAGATGTAGAATTTGTACTAAGTTAAGTGGGAGACAGTTGGTGTAATTTATTTCAAGTAGGGATTATTTAAAGGTATTTAAGAAATACTTGTTAGTGGGACCTGGTAGAACAGGCCTGTAACCTCTGTTACTGGAGTAGGGGAGGAGGGGAGCATCACGAGCTGGGGTTAAGACTGGCAGATTACTTGAGCTCAGTTCTGAGCTACAATAGGGATAAGCCAAACCAGCTCCAATATAATGAGTTCCTGGGAGTGGAGAGTCACCAGGCTGCCTAAGGAGGGACAAACCAGCCAAAGTTGGAAACAGAGCAGGTCAAAGCCAGTCAGCCAGAGGATCAGTCATGAGAATGGCCATGAACTTCCAGCCTGAGTGAGATGGGGAGACCTGTTCTCAAAACAAATAAAATTCTTGTTGATTGATGGATAGTGGAAAGAGCACAGCAGCAGGTATGCAGGAGGAAATTGGTTTCATTTAATTTCTAGCTCTACTATTAACTAGCTGTGTGATTTTTAAGTCACTTAATTCAGGATCTCATTTTCCTCATCTTTGAGCTACAGCTTTAAGCTCCCTTCGAATGTTAACATAAAGTGATTTAAATTACGGAGCCCAATGAAGTATGAAGAGGGCTGATGTCCACTTGCTCCATTCACCTCTGCTTAGAGGAAGATCCTCCTCAGAGGAAACTGAAGAGGCTACAAGGCCACTGTCCATAACCTATTCCAGCCCAGTCTTTCATAATGCAACATCAGCTTTGGTTTCCTACTCCTCTCTTATTCTGCAAAATACCCCTCCAGCCGAGCAGTACCCTCCAATGTCCCCGCTAATCTGGGGCTATTTGGGAGGTATCTATGCCTAAGATTATCCTGTGCAAAGATATTGTCAACAAAGTTGTTTGATTCCTGGACACACATGGCATTCTTTGTCTTGCTGGCTGAACTTTAACTGGTAGTAATCCTCATTCTTAAAAAACTTGTCATCACCTGTGACCTCTCTGACCATCACAGGTATTTCTTTACACCTCACCACCTTTTTATGACCTACAAAATAGATTGGACTTCAAATTCAGTGCAGGTTATAACATTTACAAATTAAAACAAAAAGGTGGGAGAGCCATGAAATCAGTAAGAGAAAACATTGTGTTGTATGTATTGTGGTGAAGGAAACGTAAGGAGAAGGGGAGGGGAGAGGAGAGTGTTGAAATTTGTAAAAGACAAAGGGAGAAGAGGTGTTAAAGAATATTGTAGGAAGAAAATTGTTTCAAGCAAAATCTAGAAATTGAAAAGATAGTTGGAATAGAAAATCAGCATAGTAGTAAGCTTTGCGCCATTTGGAAAGAACTACTAGATGAAAATGATTTTTAAGAAGTACCTTTAAAATGCATCACAAATCAAACAAGTATATTTTAACTTGACAGCAGAAGTTTTGCAAGCCTCAGATTGATAACACCAACTGGGATATTTATTACTGTGTGAGAAGTTACCCTTTCTTTTGTGGGGGAGGAAGGGGAGGAGTAATAACACCTTATCATTTGAATTACTGGAAATCTTTGTTGTTGTGTTGTTGCTCAGATCTCTCTGACTCTTCATGACCCCATTTTGAGGTTTTCTTGGCAGAGATACTGGAGTGGTTTGCCATTTCCTTCTCCAGCTCATTTTTACCAATGAGGAAAATGAAGCAAACAGGGTTAAGTGACTTGCCCAGGGTCACACAACTAGTAAGTGTCTGAGGCCAGATTTGAACTCAGGAAGATGAGTCTTGCTGATTCCAAGCCCAGTGCTCTCTTTACTGCACCACCTAGCACCACAAATCTAATGATTTTTATTTTCATTTCACTGTTTGTTTTATAACATTTCTCAAAAGAGACATAAACTAGGGAAGCAATCAATTGACCTTTCTTCTAAGATAGTTAGATGGCATCGTAGATTGTCCTGGGCCTAGAGTTCAAACCCTGAATTCAAATCCAACCTTAGACCTGCATAGCTGTATGACCTTGAGCAAATCATTTAATCTGTCTGCCTCAGTCTCCTTAACTGTAAAATGGGAATAATAATAGCACCTACTTCCCAAAGTTGTAGGAAGGATCAAATGTGATATTTGTAAGGTGCTTAGCACAGTACTGGCATGTAGTAGGCACTTAATAAATGCTCCTTTCCTTCCCCACTTCCTGCTGCAAACTCTCAGTTATGTGTATAGAACATGCCACAACATATTGCTAGCAGTAAGATCAGGATCTGTGACCATCCCTGTGGATGTGACCCCTAAATGACACAGTTCTTATCCTTTTCCACACCACAGTAGATGATTTCATAAGCTGGTTCATGAGAATTCCAACCCCCTCTTCCCCTCCAAAAAAAAAAACCACCCCACCCAACATTTGGTGGTCAAGCCTCTACTGATGAGACTTCACTACCTGACCTTCAAAAACTCAGGGTCATCTCTATATCAAGGGGCATCTGATGAGGCATCCTTCATTTATCTCTTTGGTCAGAATTAATGAAAGAGTTCCCTCAGGCTTTGGCTGGGACAAAGGAAGAGAACAGGGCCCCACCATGGCTAGTCTTTGGAAGTTGTGAGTATTGACTGAGGTGGAAAAACAGGGGCTGGCTATTTATGCAGTACTTCCAATGGGACTCTTTATGAGTGTGGCTAGTATGATTGGCAATCTTATCCATATTGTGCTACTTTGAGCAAGAAGAAAATCTGTCCCAAGAAAGGGCTACATCAGAGTGGCAATTTGCTTCTAGGGGTTCAATCTAGGGCAACAGCTCTCCCTATGTCATCTTTGATTTTTATCACCTTTGCTTACTCACTAAACTAGCATCAAGTTTATAATTTGTGGGTTTCCCCATCATTAATCATTGCTTTTATGTGTCCTCTCCAAATACTAATTAATAAATCCTTTTTTGTTTATGATCTTTCTAACTACTTCTAAAGTTAAAATTGTGGGGGGTAGAAGTAGGGCATTCTTAAAAACCTCAGCACTTGCTTATATCCTTTCTAAGACGT